AAGGTTCCCCCCCCCCCCCGCCCCCCACAGTCCCCAAGCACTCCAATGTGTAGTCAGGCCAATTTTGAGTAACCTAGACTTTGAATCACCCAAAATATAGCTAATATCAGAGAGAAATTGTGTTTAGTAAATGAGGGTTGAGTGTTGATTTTCGGCTTGAAATAATGGTAGGTCTGGTCGCTAAAAGGATTTCTGGTCGCTAAAAAGGACATTTTCTATTGCTAAAAGTATGCACCAGATTTTTTCTAATATTTTCCAAAGTCTCCGAATGGACTGTCGGGATTCATTCGGGATCCGATAAAAATAAACAATATATGCTACCCCACTAAATTCGGCATTCCGGACTCAACAAAATTTTTAGATTTCAGTAAAAAGATTATTATGATAGAAATACCCCATTGGGACCCATTAGGCCTAAAACTAAGCATTTTTCCTAAACACCAAAATATCAAAAAGAAGAACTCAAGACCCAAGATTTAAGATCCAATTAGGCCAAATTCAACATTCTGGAGCTAATGGCATTGATAAAATTCTCATACGACAACTAATTCTCCGAATGTTGACCAAAGTAAACTCTAGGCCTTTAAGCTTTCCAACAATTCGTCTAAGTTCTCAAATTCACACGGAAGCCTTAGGACCCAAGCTAAAGGTCATTCTAGACCAAACTCGACATTCTGGAGCTAACCACGCTGACGGAATTTCAATCCGAGCATCTGTACAAAAAGTGTTGACCAAGGTCAAACTTAGGCCAAATCTCAGAAGCTAAAATACCTAATTGCATAATCTCACGCCGAAAGCCTCGAGATTCAAACCAACCGTGCCACTAGCCTAAAATGTCCATTCCAGAGCTGATGCAACCAACATAATTTCATTCTGATGATTTTTACCTGATGTTTTCACTAAAGTAAACTATTCAAGTTTAAAAGGAACATGCATAAAACCTAAACGACGAAAAGAAGGCATTAGGGAGAAAATGAACTAGACGATCATTACAATGCACATGTACAAAACAATAGAGAAAGTGAGTGAGTGTATATATATATATATGCAAGCTCTAACTATAGGAACTTTCTTCTGTGGGCTATTAATGTAGTTAGAAACTTCTTATAATAGCAATAATGTTCAATATACTATATGATAAAATAATAAAATTTCTCTAAATTTATTTTGATGATAATATATAGATATTTCTTTTGTTTAATATAATATTGGTCTATAAGAAGATGCCAGTATATTTATGAGCTTATTCTTTAAGTAAATAATTATTGTTGTCTTTTCACTTTAAATACAACAAAAACTATGCTAAGGACTTGATTAAAAGAAACTTGCTTTTTACTAGATTACAAGAAACTTAAAACATTTGAGAAAAAAGTTATATACAAAAGAATTAAGAAAGCATGCAGGAATTTGAAGCTTACTATTGTTGAGATACTCGCAGTAGTATGTTATAAATACTTATCAGGTTGTTATAGTAGATTTAGTTCAAATCATTTGATTCAATCTTTTCCATAAGATTAGATTATGTTGTTAAAGTAGGTCCTTAGATTTAGTCAAGTTAGTTACACATTAAGTTGTTAGAGTAGTTCCTTAGAATTAGTCAAGTTAGTTACGTCTTGTATTTAAGTTGATGTTATGATTGAATAAGATCATTCATGTTTTCTTTGATTCTCAAACTCTTTATGGTTTCAGAGCCTCTCTAAAACTCTCATGAGTTTGAACCAATTTTTTTTGTCTATCTCTTCGCGTCAAAAACATTGTTGTACATTCTACCACCAGTGACACTGATGTTGCAGTTCCGACTACCACTAATGTGGTACAGTTCAATCCAGCTACCCAATTGCCTATCAACCTGCACGGTAACCTCAACTTTGTAACCTGGAAGGAGCAACTAGTGATGCTACTCAATGGACACAAGCTCCTTGGGCATATCACTGGTGCCAAATCTGCTCCGCCAACCACTATCACACAAACTGATAGGACCATCTCATATCCTGAATATGAGATGCGGTTTTGCCAAGACCAACTAATTCAAAAGGCAATGATGGCATCAATTAACCTCACCATTGCTCCCACTGTTGCAACTGCCTCCTTGGCAAAATTAGCATGGGATCTCCTTCATACAGCTTATGCCAATAGGAGTCACACTCGGATCATTAGCTTGCGAGATCAGTTGCAAAACTTGAAAAAGGCCTCCAAAACTGTTGCTATTTACCTAAAGGAGATCAGATCAATTGTGGATGCTCTCAAAGTAGCAGGCTTTCTAGTGGCTGATGATGAACTAGCAATCAAGATCTTGAGTGGCCTAGGTCATGAGTACCGTGAAATCACTTCCGCTATAAGAGCACGAGACACAACCCTAAGCTTTGAGGAGCTATTCTAGAAACTCACGGACCATGAACTCTTTCTCAAACATCAAGATATTTACAAATAATCCTCTATCATCACGGCCACAGCTGCATAAAGGACCAACTTTCAACCCCAACATCAGAAGAATAATCGTTGCTTCCCTAATCAATCTTCGAAACCACAAGCTCCATGACAGGCGTACCCTGGCACTCAACAAATGGGAGACAACCCAGGCAAGCGGTGAAATGCCAACTTTGCCAAAAGATCGGTCACACAGTTGATGTGTGTTGCTCAAAATTGCACAACCACTTTGAAGCTAAGGTCAACTTTATGTCGAATCATCACCTAGATACAAATCCTTGGATCCTTGATTATGGAGCAACCCATCATATCACAACAGATTCAGATAATCTTAAAGAATATACTGGCAATGAGGAAGTGTCCATGGGTGACGGTAAAACTATTCCCATTACTCACATTGGTTTAACTCAAATTAAGGCTTCTAACTCTAATTGCATGATCTCTAACACTCTTTGTGCTGCAGCTATCAAAAATAACCTTATTTCTGTTGCTATGTTTTGCACTGACAATCTAACCTCAATTGAATTTTTTCACACTTTTTTTCTTGTGAAGGATCTCAAAACTTGGAGAAAGCTGGTAGAAGACCGGAATAAACATGGACTCTATAAGTGAACCCAGAGGGATCATATTTCACCTTCCACCAACTTCACCTCCACCAAAGTCTCCCGTCAACTGTGGCACCGTCGCTTGGGTCATCCTTATCTGAAAATCCTAGAATTAGTACTGAATAAATTTTCACTTCCCTTTTCCACCAACGAAAAGTTTTAGTTTTGTAATTCTTGCTCACCAAATAAAGCTCATCGTTTGCCATTTCAACATCTCACTTTAAATAGTAATGCACCACTTCAAACTTTATTTAGTGATTTATGGGATCTATCACCCATTTTATGCATTGATAAAAAGTTGTATTACTGCATTTTTGTTGAGCATTACAACTAATATACCTGATTGTATACAATCAAAAACAAAAGTGAAGTCGCTTCAATTTTTGCGCATTTTCATCCTTTGGTGGAAAAAAATTTTAAACACAAAATTGCTTCACTTTATACTTATGGAGGGGGTGAATACAAAGGTCTTAAACACTACCCTACAATGCAATGTCATTGAACATTTAATTTCCCACCCTGAACACCCCAACGCGTTGCCATCGCTGAACGACAACATCGTCACATTATCGAAATAGCTCGAACTCTTATCAATGAAGCCTCACTAGCATCTGAATTTTGATCCTTTACCTGTCACCATGCTGTCTATCTCCTAAATAAATTCCCTACACCTGGCCTGAATAATTATTCTCCTTATAAAAAAATATTTAGCGAACCTCCAAAATACTCTTTGCTAAATTTTTTTGGTTATCTTTGTTATTCATGGCTTAAAACACATACCCAAAATAAATTTCAGCCTAGATCTACACCATGTGTCTACTTAAGATTTTTTATTGTTCATCATGCACACCTCTGTTTTAATCTAGTGCACTAAAAAATATTTGTTAGTCGTGATGTTCAATTTTGTGAAGATATTTTTCCTTTTACTCAAATGTTCTCACACTTGAAAAAGAAGTTTTCCACGTTAAAATGGGAAATCATAGAGTCCCAAGTCTATGAGGAAACTCAACCAGAAGTCTAATACAACTTGGACTACAATCTCGTTCCAACTATTTTGCCGCCTGTTCCTATCCCCCTAACAATTCCCTCTCATTCCAACACTCCAGAGTCCATAATTGAAAGGCCAATACCAGTAGTCTCCACTTCATCAGGTATAATTCCTATCGCTTCTCAATCTCCTTCACTATTTAATAATGCAGCCCACAACACCTCTCCCCCATTATCCGATTCCAGTACTTCCCCACCAATATTGAACCAGCAGCCACCGAATCCTCCAGAAATTATGCCTACTGCTGCTGCCCCTCCACCCTCCAGTGTGGTCACAAGGTCCAAAAAAACAATTCAACTTCTTGGCTCACCCTTCTACCACCCCAAATACCTTTATGTAAGCCGTTAAGCACACAAAATGGAAGAATTCCATGGATTTGGAATACGAAGCCTTAATGAGAAACCAAACTTGGGAACTAGTACCTAGGGACCCGATGAACAATGTTGTTGATTCTAATTGGTTATTTCGCATTAAAAGGAAAGTTGATGGTTCTATTGACAGGTACAAGGCGCGATTAGTAGCAAGAGGTTTCACACAATTTCTAGGATTGGACTTTCATGAAACTTTCAGTTTGATTGTCAAACAAACCACCATCAGAATTGTTCTTTCCATTACAATTCAAAACAATTGGAAAGTTCACCAGCTTGACATGAACAATGCTTTTTTGCAATGTAACTTAGAGGAGCAAGTATTCATGGCTCAGCCGAAAGGCTATGCTAACTCTGATTTTCCAAATCATGTATGCTGTCTCGAAAAGGCTATTTATGGCCTAAAATAAGCTCCAAGTGCCTGGTATGAAGCTCTCAAATCTCACCTGACTAAAATTAGGTTCGTTAAGTCTGAATCAAATATTTCTCTATTTAGTTTCACATATGAAGTTGTCACGAAGTATATTCTTGTGTATGTTGATGATATCCTCATTATTGGGAATTACCCAATCGTTGTCGCACATGTAATCAATTCTCTAGCTGACAGGTTCTCCCTAAATAACCTTGGTGAACTCAACTATCTTTTGGGGATAGTCAAACATGTTTTGAATGGGATTATCTTATAACAGTCAAGAAACATACTTGAGATCCTCTCAGATTTGGATATGGCCGACTGAAAAGGAGTTACGGCACCCATGTGCTCAAGTTCACCACCCAAAGCAGGCGATGGTTCACCTCTTGCCGATGCAACCTTGTATCGACGCACTCTTGGTATGTTGCAATATGTAACGACCCGGAAAATGATAGAGTGAAACTAGAGCCTCACATGTGAGTTTAGAGTCGAGAACTTAATGAAATGATTATATTTGAATTTGACCCAAAAAGTTTTTAAAAATGTGCTTCGGAAGTTACCGAAAACTTGTTTAGCTACTTATAGAAAGATCCGTTTCGTTTTTCGAAAATCCGACTTCATATTCTTGTTTAGGGGGTCAAATTGAGTGGGAAATGGGTCTAACCCAAATTTTAGAGCAACCGTATCAAAATCCGAAATTTCCAAGTGAAGCCTTTTTCGAGGGTCTACTTTGAAGGGTCATATCTCCTAGCACACAAATTATTTGGGTGGCCAATAATATATCCATGGAAAGCCCTTTGAGTTAGCTACCTAACGCACTTCATTTCACCTCATTCGGAGTTCGGACGAAGAAGTTATGCCCATTTTCGTAAAATCTGTCCGGCAGAAAAAGACAATTTCCAGTAGCTAATTTTACTGTTCACCCGCCCCATTTTTTTTTCTAAGTGTTGGACGAATCTTTTCCAAAGGACATATGTTATTTCCTATATACCATTAATTCAATTC